GCCCGGAGGGACTGCCCGCCCGCCCACTAGCATTACTGGCTGGTGGGAATGAAACACCCAAAAGTTTTTTTTTTCCGTTCTCCTTCTCTCTCTATTATACCTTCATTAAAAGAGGATATCAAAACATAAAAAGTCTTTTGCCAAACCCATATTATAGGTAATTTATTATCAATGTACCTTTCTTGGTATTTAGATGGGGGAGGTTAAACCGTCAACCCTCCATCGTGATTTAGCCACTGGATCAGAGAAACTATAGAGTTCCAATCGCCTATTATAAAGGGTGGATTTTAGTCAGTTTCAGAGCAAGTTCAGTAATCTATATAATTTTAATTATTATCTTATATTGTTTGGATATAGTGACGTATGGTTATAACGATCAAAGTTTACTGGTCCCTTCAACGTTATAAACGATATTTACTGTGGTACAGTTATGGTAGGAGTAATAAGTTAGACAAGTATCTCTCGACAATTGTATGTTATAATAATGGGGTTAAACGTTTTCCTATTATGATTTCTTAACAATTGCGGTTCCGAATTGAAAAAAGAAAAACTGAAACTTATGTTAGTTTGGTTCAAAAAAGATGTTGGTGTTGATTATGACTAAGGAATAATGTCGGAAGACAGTTGATGTTATTGTTTGGGGATTTTGATGTCGATTAGAGTTGTTGAAATTAGCAATTAGGGGATGTGGTTTCGCAATAAAAGCAGTGGCAGCCTTTGCCACCGAAAACATTAAAATTTACGATGCGTTCGAAGCTACAGCAAACTTTATCTGAAGTAATAGCCGTGTCATTTGTGTATATAGGAGGGATTCGGGATGATCAGAGCAACGATTTTCCGCCTAAACGGGATTCATATTTCATGAACGCTAAACGGCTTCTAATTTCGCGTTATAATTTTCGGGACACGGGGATCCGTATTTTGAAAATAAACGCGTGTAAAGGGCATGCCTTTTACCTCTTACCTGGCCACCCTTCGCTGCGTACCTACTTCTTCGTCTTCTTCTTGCCTCCACGTTCACAATTAGCCATAACCTCGAGGGACCATCCAAATTCTACGACGTCGATCCACTCCCCTTCAAGAACGGGTTATAGCCATCGTAGAATTACAGAATGTATATTGAAAGACGTTTGCTCGCACCGTCCAAAACTTAGGAAAACTTGTGTTCGCTGAATGTATGCCCTCCATCTAAAATGCGATACGTCTAGTGCGGTCGCTGATTCCGTCTTTGTTCGTCAACATTACATTGTTACCGAAGGAAAAGGATAAGAGAGAGAGCCCTGTTAACAATATGATTGTATGTACTGTGTACCTTAAGATCCCCGAGCTCTTGGGACATGCCGTTGTATTTGTACTTTTACATTGCTAACTAACTAACCACTTAGCTGTTGTTAAATTCAAGTTAGCTTAAGTTTGCTGACTTGTCATACTGTTTCTTGGCAAACACGATTGTCTAACCCCGTTCCCGTACCGAATCTACGGCTCCATTTCGGACCTTTTACAAGTTAATTCCTTCCCTTATTTCTCTATTTTCCCAATTTATACGCCACCTGATCTTTTATCGTTTCCATCTCATGTATTCTTACTACTACTGCTACTACTACACTCGACTTGCTATCTCTACTTTTATTGCCAATGTTACCGATTGTGTTGGATAATTTACAGACTTTTATTATTATATTTATATGAGATGTTGTATTAGGAAGTTTAGCTATAGGCTCGAGTAGAAATTTGTGTGATTTCTGTTGGAAAGTTCTTATTGTAATCTTTGTGTAGATTGTTATTGCTGTTACTGAGAAACATAATGTCTAACCTCGGGGCGTCGGCGTCAGAAGAACGACGATTAAGCCGACCCAGCCCTAATGAAGTAACCATCGGCAAAGTTTCCAACACGCTTTAATGTTCTTTCGTGTTTTTATAATGACACGGTTCGGCTGCGATGTCTCGTAACAAACTTTCCGCAGCCGAAAATGAGGAAAATTGCTCGAAATTCCGCTACCGACCTAAACAGAACTTAAACGCATCTGATCGGTCAAATTATTCTGACGAAAATCAACCCCCCGACTCACGCGGCACTTCTAATCAAAAATGAAGATGATAAATTCGCCCTGGCAACTTCTTTACTTCCCGTCCGACTTTTTCAAGCCTTTTCGCGACGAGCCGACACTTTTTACTCTTTTACATCTACAACTTTTCCGGGTAGCTCTTTTCTTTAAAGAATAATATTTTCAACGCTTCCGTTCACTCTTTTCACTCCCTGATCGTTCATTCATTCAAAACCACTGCTTCTATTAAAACATTTTCATTATAATAATAGTTAAAGTAACTTCAACTAATATGCACGTAAGATTACCCGATATCAGAAATCGCACAATTTACGTAGTGCAACTTTGGTTGCACCCTGGATGAAAAAATTACTAAATTTCGTTTAAGAAATATAAATTTCATGATATCTTACTCTTATCTTCATCGTCGTATACATCGAATACACTGATGTAACTTCAGAAGTACCTCAAGATTGCTACCTTGGTCCTATCTTATTTATCATTTTTATAAACGATCTTGTTAACTCTCCAGTTTTGGAAAATTTTAATTTATTACACTGAATCTTTTGATGACAAAGTCAACGAAATTCATGATTTGGGAGTGACTTTTCATCGTCATTTTCTTTCGAGAGTCATCTTCTAAATATAATAGGTATAGCATATCCAGGCGAAGTGACGAATTTCATAACTCAAATCGGAAATTGACATATGTCTCTTTACTTTTGCAGATTTTGTTGACTGGTTCCATAATATCTTGTCATCTTTCAATGATTTTCTATCGTATGAAATTTAAAAATTCTTGTAGGTCGTAGCAGGACATTTATTTTAGACCTAAAATTTTTATCTTATTGTTAGCCTTTTTTGACGATAGAAACTCCACATCCTTTAAGAACTCCACGAGAAGACTTGGAATTTATTGGGTCCAGAGATAAAGCTTTTAATAGTCCCTGATGGATTTTTTGTAGTTGTTTGTGCTACTATAAAATTCATATTTACCTACCCTACAGTGAATTGAATTAACCTTTGTTAATCCTTTTGTGTCTGCTCTGGCTACGCCTCTGTGGCCATTAATACTTTAGAATATATTTGAATCGGCAATCGGCTATGCCTACATGTACGGAACAAGTCTAATTTGCAATATAACTACCGATGGAATATTTAATTAATTTACAACCTGACTAGCACATAATATGCACACATATACATAGCATAAATTAACGTACCTTAATGATGGACTAACACTAAAATGATGAAGATCGACGCGAAATCGGGGTAAATCACTCGCGTTTGTTTCTTTACAACATAACTCGCTATCCGCTATCGTACAAACGGTGCTATTACCCATAAACTATCGCAAAATGCTGATGTTTGTAAATAATTTATTTGTAGACATCATATTTACATTTTGACCTCCAAATTTCGTTTGCTTCAGTATAAACATACTGCATTTAAAATTGTTTTCGTAATTAACATATGAAATCCTTCCTGTCATCCATAATTCGATTTTTGACAAAAGCATTTTTTGTATTTGTAATGATATAACTGCACAAAGTCAANAACAATTTTTATTATTAATTTGCATCTATTGCGTTAAAATAACGCGTAGGACAACGACCTCTTCCGTTTTTGAAATGTTTTTTAATTCATTATGCAATTTAACTACTTGGTAAAAAAAAATAAAAAAAATTTTTGGCAATTTTTTACAACTTGCAGTCATGATTAAAATATTTGTTTTGTAATAGGTACACAGTGTGTAAAGAAATTTTGTTTGCTGTGTACTGTATAAATACACTACATAGATAATTTCGTGTAACTGCCGTCGCGGCGGGCCGCGTCGGGATATGAATAATAAAAAGATGACACTTACGACGCTCGTCTATCTCTAAAGGTAGACAGTCAATTATTATACCGGCGTCTGAAATAAAAATGGCACTGACTTACTTAAAATATAACTTAGGCACCTTTCTTAAGACACCACCGCCGCCACCTCCACCGCTAAAACAGTGGTCGAGTCGACCCGTTTCATTTGAAGTTGTCGCCGATACGCAATGAGTAGCACACAAACGTAGCATTAGCTTTTTAAAAAACAAAAACGGTTGTAAGGATGCACTTCACATAATTTTCTGACACAGTTCCGTTTTCACGCGCGCGAGTTATTTTGCAAAAAAATAAATAAAGAGAACTAACGTCGGACGTGGAGCTGTTGTTTGCAGAAGCGCGCCACGGTCTCTCAATTCAAAGATAACGACCTCCTTCGGAAATAGATTAATCGATATTAGGGCGATAGGTAGATATAAAAGCGCCGGAAGAGCTTGTGTTATCAACAAACAACCTCTGAGGAATAATATTTTTGGTATTTGACGAGGTAAGAGCACTCGAAAATAAATTACCTCATTCGTTACCCGTCTACATCAAATCAAAATTAATAATAATAATAATAACGGTCACGAGAGAGTAACTTTGAAGTTAATGGTTGACAAAAATTTCGTGTGAGAGGGAAACAAAAAAGGGCGCGAATTTCAAAAAAGTTCGATCATACTTCAGATATGTAGGTAGTAGTAAAACTTTGACCGCTTTGTCGACGGCGCAGCGTGACGGCACAACGTCGGGCTGAGTGAACACTGCTGGTCCCCGACTCTCTCCGTCTCTCGCTAGTGAGGCACATAATGTTGTTTACTGTTTACAATGTCTACCCGCCTCGCCCGTATGAGAGATGTTGTTTACTCAGTTATATTTAGAGTTTAGAGAAATGCAAAAGCAAACCAACTACACCTGCCTCAGCTGGAGATTCCACAGAGACGTATTCAAAAAATACTCTCACGCATCGAAACTTACTAACTCGGAAAATTTCAGGAACTTTCCATTTTCCCAATTTTAGATTTTCACGTAAAACAGCCATTTATCTATGTCCGTTCTCATTTTCATCGATGGATACCATACATCCAACTTTAACATTTTCACCACTCTATACTAGTCATTATATCCTACAAGGACCTTTTCCCCAATCTTCAAAAATTCCTGTTTACTGATGTTGTTCTCATAGGGATCGAAAGGTCGTCATGTGTTCGAGTTTGTTCCTAACATTTCCGATGCTGGATGCGGAGATGAAAGGACCTGGACAAAGATCACTACTCTGAAGAAGTGCTAGCGAAACGTTAGGAAGCAACTTCAACCCACGATGATCGTTAGACCCGAATTAGAACAGCATCAGATTACCTACTGGCCGCAAAAGCCTTTACCAGTTTATCATTCCTGTTTACATATGAGTAACTATTACTTTTTGATTGTTTTCTTATTCTCATCCATGAATATGTCTAATGATCTTCATCATAGTACATTCAGTAATCCTTAAACTCCATCCTGTCCAAAGTTACTACTATATCTATCGGGCCCAATACTCCAAGTTTAGAAAATTCCTATGATTTACTTTTACCTTTTCTCCTTCTCATTCATAAATACGTCTAATAATATCCATGTTCAAAACTTTCCATCAGACTAACGAGCTTTTCCTAGTCCTTAAACTCTACCACCCTATCGAAACTTGCTACTAAGACCTATACTGTGGCCTTGAATTAGTTCTCCAAGATGCCTCTATATTACTTTTTCAAACTGGTAAAGGCTTTCGGAGCCAGGTGCTGTCCTGATTCGGATCCATGTGGATTGTCCACATCCATCATCGGAGATGGAAGAGCTTTTAAAAAAGCATGTTTAATATCTTCGTCAAACCAAAGTAATTTTGCTAGTCGTTAGACTTGATATTGGGGCTTTTTAAGGCGCTTGTTCTTCAGTTTCCAAAAATGCATATTATTTTTAAATTTTTGTCTCATTCTCACCCATGAATATCTGATGTTGGGCAAATTCAAAATTATCATCAGTGTGTAGTAAGCACTTTTGCCAGTGTTTAAACTTTTTCCCATTGAAACTTCCTATCGGAATCTTAGAGAGTTCCGTGTTCCAAAAGAAAATTTTCTTTGCTTTCTGAAGATCTCTTTAGTCCCTTAAGAAGGTAACCTTGTTACCGAAAATTACTTCGGAAGCTTGGTGCCGTATTTTGGCGTTAGGAAGGATTCTTAGTGTCCGAAGGTTAGCCCTCCACCAAATTGAGTAGAGACAGAAAGGAGTGAATCATTCCTACTCTGAGTCAATCTTTGCATACCCCGAAAACTACAATATCCCACATTCCTAATTATTTGCGAACAATGATTTAATCTACGTCTTCCTCTGATTCTATTTACTAACACGTCTCTAACTAGCCCTTCGTGTCTCAAAAGGTGACCCACTCCGTTTCCTTATTGACATTCATAGCACTCTTTCCAATACTCCCTTATTTATAACCTTTTCTATTCACGACATCTTCATCATCTTCTCATACAACAGCTAGTATATGTCAAATGCTTTTAACATTTTCTTTTCCGCTTCACCCACCGTCCACACGTTTAGCATCCGTACAGATAAGTTTACAATACAAATATGGTTCTTTCAAGTTGAAACGATTCAACAAGTATATACGTTTCTACTGTATACCTAGAGAATTATATTATCAGATACAGTTATAGCAAATAGACTATCTGAAAAAACATGAAATCAATAAATTAGCACACAGCTGATTAGTGAAATATGTAATATCAGACGAAAACATTTTATTCTATCGATTATATTGTGTTAGCACAACAATTTTAGATAATATTATATATTTTTAACGAAATTAACTTAAAAAGATTGCACTTATAAATTAGAAATAATAATGGACGAAATTAGATAAAATTTTAGATTAAAACACTTAACACGGAGGAGAAAAATATTTAATAAATTTGAAATAGTTCGAGTAGCTAGATTTATCTTGCGTTCATCGAGCATTTGGGAATTTATAGCGATTCGAATAATTTTCGACTTTTTCCACTTGGAAATAATAAGAAATATTACTTTAATTTCGAAGAAGGAATCATTGGAAAACAGGAAGAAGAAGAAATGGTTTGTTACCGATACCAAAATGAGTATTTTACATTAAAACAAATGCGGAAGGTGATAAAAAGGTTTTCGACGAAAGAATAAACGATGCACATGGATATGAGAAAGAAAAAGAGAGAGAGAGTGACAGAGGGTGAAAGAGGAAAAGGAAAAAGCGGCAGTAGATGGAGAAGAGAAATCAGTATTCATATTAACTGCTTGCGATTTTGAGTCGGCAGAGAACGGCATCACCCCTCGTGCCACAAAGGTGCAAACTTATTATAAGGGTGTATCTGTGAAAAGCCTGCATTATGAGACCCTTGATACTGGTGCGAGTGCAGTCGAGTGTATAACTGTCTGAGAGAGCTTTTCCAATAAAAAGAGCGGCAGAGGCGGCGGAGGAAACTCACTTCGACATTCCGTATTCCAACCGGACAACCAGATCATTCCTAAGCTTTTAATGAAACCCGAGGTTGTTTTTTGCTTTTTAAAAAAATTTCCCTTTTCTTGCAATTTTTATTTGATGGGCCAGCACAACTTGCCAGGAATAACTTTACCACAATTTGGACTTTTCAGGACAACTATCACGCTCTCCAAAACGCCTCGACCATCACGAAAATAAGATTCGTCTAATATTTGCTTTTATTTTATTATAGATGATTTTTAATTTGAGTTTCAAAACTTAATACTGTTTCCATTATCTTCTCCGTAATTTAGATATGTATCAGAATTTAGGACCTGCTGAGGGTTTTTAAGGTTTTTTATTAAACTGCAAAAGACATCAATGTTCCGCCCCTTGCTGTGTGAGGAAAGGTGTTTTAGTTCGGTGCATTTACAAACAATCTTGAAAAAGCCTCACAAGGCGAAATGTTGGTGTCAGTTTTGCAAGGCTTCAATATTTCAATACATATTTAAAACTTATCGGTATATAATTTCCTTAATTCACTCTCATTATTAAAATAGAGGCTGTCATTTGATTTCCAGTCACAAAATATGTCAAAAATACTCAGAAATTTCAAATCTACATAAGAATATCTTTGCGCGAGTATATAGATGGATGATGTGTATTTGAATTTGGTTGTGTCGGAAACGTATCGTGATGGCCAATTGGATGCTGACCATATCTTCGGTCCTTTGGGATAGTGTCGCATGTCGGCCTTGTCAGATCGCATGAATGAGTTCATCATCAGCTTTAGAGACCGTGTTTGTCAACTTTTGATTCGCACCTTTTTTTACCGTCCATTCCGTATTCAGTACGCGCCACTTGTCTGTCAACAAAAAGACAGACAGAGCTTGCAGAAGGAGGAAGAGCGAGAAGGAAACAGGCGAGCAGCTATCGTTGCATGCGTATGAAGATGCAAAAGTGAAGAACCTAATTTGTCCCATACACTTACGGGGAATGTGACTTGAAATAAAAAATAATAACGCCCCCAAACGATGCGAACGGTGTGCACGGATAAACACAGCGCGTCAGGGTAAGAATCAGGCGATATTGGGGTGACTTCCTCCCTCTGTGCCCTATAACCGATGCTGCCGTCACCGGTAACGCACCACCGCGGTGTGGCACCTTTGCTGAGACACTTTATACAGGCTTGCCTTTTTCCCGGCGTCGTTTTCTCAACCGTTATTGCACCCTTCACTTATTGACTTCCGGATTTTCGTATAAAGGTGTGACGACTACGTTCCCATTCAAATCACTGCAGTTATGAAAATTCTTTTAATTTTCCGAAACAAAAATTTTCCCCTTCATCTGTTCCATTACATTAAAATAAAACTTCTATATATACAGTTTATCATGGGGCGAATGCGTCAGGATTTTTCTTTTTGGAACGAAGTTCCTTTCTACTCGTTACGGCCTTAAGAAGAAATTTTAAATAAATAAAATATAAATATTCGGGGTGTACATATAATAATTCAAGTAATTAATAAATAGTTGAGTGGTCAAAACCAAACGTTAAAAACTCAGAAATAATATATTGGAGATAAGTAGAATGTTTATCCGAATTGTAAACAATTGGGGGATGGTAAATCAAGCATTTAAAACTTTTTCATAAAATCGCATAGGTATAAGTAATGAAGAGTTTGTTATCTACTTAAGGGCGTTACATATTTACTAAGGCTGCCCTGTGTAGAGTCAATAGAGTACAGTGTAGTACTAAATTAATCAAGTCAATTTTGAGGCCCCTTGACTAGTTTTTCCAGCTATGAAATCGAAAAATCCTATTGAAACACTATTCTTATTTTTATTTCTGCAATTATCTCAGATAGCTCAACTTGAGGAAGAACAAATTTGAATTAGGGTGACGATTTTTCTTCTTTACATTTTTGTTGGTCACCGACTAAATTTCAGAGTATGTATGTGAAAAAGGTAAACCTAATTTGGACGTCCTGTAATATTTGAATTAATAACAGTATCTGCTCATGCAAGAAAAAAATATCAGTTACATATCATAGGTACTTGCCTGTGGCAGAAAATTGTGTAATATCAGCGTTTTCAATATCTGATTGATGGAAAAATGATGAATTTGTATTTTTAAATTATTAAAAGGTAATTCTTTGTTTACACCAATATATTGGTTTGACATCAGCGTTTTTATATGCAGAGATAAATATAAAGTGGCAAATTTATTTCAAATATGATGCTAATAAATGTGGACCTTTCAGTAGGTTAATA